TATTTAGTCAACCGAGTTCAGTAGTAGTTTGAGTTGCTCAATGGCAAATGTTTTGGCAATAAAAAAGTATCATGAACATAACTGGCCCATAACGTCGGTCGATACTTGGTGAAAACAAAGTATTTTATCTGTCAAAGGATTAATTCATCAATTAAGCCTGATAGGGCGGAGCTCATGGGAGTAACTTTAATTTGTTCATACATTTTCAACCAGACGTGAAATATATTTTAGGGCGGTATCGTAGAATATAAAGCAAATTTTCGGACTTCAGGGGCTTGCCTCTCTCGACGTTGTGTTCGGTTAGAAGTTAGTTCTCACACAATTGGCGTACAGTTTGCTTGTTGCAAGAAAGCGAGCGTCGCAATATATCTATCACAAGAGTCGCGTGGATCGTTGTGATGCAGGAGGATATGGGAGTTAACTCACGGTGTATTTATTTTATGCGGTCTCCGTAACATGAATCGCAATACTGTATTTGGACAGCCTCATGATGATTCAAAGTCGCCAAGTCGCAGTGCTATCATAAAATTTGCGACATTTATAAGGCTGCCGGCACGTAAAGCCCCATTTCACCATACCCTTGTGGCAATGTCGCTGCAGTTCCGGGACTGATTTCTCGCAAGACCCAAGAGCCTAGTTATTTTGCAGCTAGCCTTCACTAAAGGCCGTTCAAAGGCTATTCAAAGATACTTTTTACTTTCTGAGGCTTTTGATTCTTATACCGTCAGACAATATATGCTCTCTCTTATCCGGCCTTTCGTAATGGGCTTTTGGGTGACACAGGGTAGCTGAACATGACTGAATATTTCTGAAGTTTTTATATTGCGTGTACAATCGAAAAACCAATCTGTAAGCTAATTTTTTTTAGCCAATTCGCTCGATTAATTTGCACATGCAATGGATCCCAGGGGAAATTCTCTATTCACCGATTAAAATTAGATTAAGTTTGGCTGACGACCGACAGGGGTACGCTATAAAGATATAGCAATGAATGAAATATAGTACACAAAATACAATCTTGTATCGAACACCTTCTTTTCAGGAGGAAGCTTGACCCTACGGATGCGTAATACCTAAGCAACTTAGGCTGGGTTATATTTAACCATTTAACCCTAAATATCGCGCGTAGATGGTGTTTAAGCAAGTAGGAAGCAAATAGCGACAATTACTTTTGGTTTTTGGATCTGCCCTATGAAGGGGACAAATTTTAAGGCAACTTAAGTACTTTTTAAACCTTATAGTTGGTGACCTAGCTTCTATGCACATTATAAAGCAAAAAAAACAACTGTGCATTTGTTTTAAGCATCATTTTAGAAGCAGTAATATATCCTGGTGGTTAACCCATGTGCTGGAAGGGAGAAATAATTCTTTTTTGTCTTCGGCATATTCGAACTCGCCGACTCCCAACTGTAGGAATGGAGGTTAACTCCTCCCTTGGAGCACAGAGCATTCATCTGAAATTTTGCAGTGATACTTAGGTTTGTCATCAGAGCTAAAGGAAAACTAAATGCGCCCCTCCTAACCTCTGATGTGCCTTTCCGCTATGACGATTTAGTGACAGATTAATTCGCATTCACGCAGTATATCGAATTTCTACAAAATTTGTCTGAACTCGCGGTTTAGAGAACTTCATCCTTTTGTCTACTGGGCAATTTGTTAAAGGTCCTCTTGATCATTATTCACTTCTACTTGTATTATTTTTCGCTTTGTCCTATAATTGATTTTCTTGACGTGTATGCATATGAAGACTCTTACCTAATTGTTACTTATTTACTCTATCCTTCCTCAGAGTGTCCGACTACAATATTGGATTTATCGATCCCCAATGCAATCGAACCAGCACTCAATTGCACCATCATCAATGGAAACCTCATAATAACTCATCTTTCGAATGCTCAATGTAGGGCAGGCGGACTCAGCCTGCGGTCGCTTGTGGAAATTTTGGGCACCCTAACGATAGAACATTCTAGTTGTCACGGCGACCTCTCCTTCTTCCTCCCCAATTTAGTTGCCATTCATGGCTTATCCCCCTTCACGCCGTACGTTGAGTTACCTGGTTTGCCCGATTTGCCGCCGTACGCCCTTCTCATCCATCATACAGCTCTCTCTGGCATTGGACTAGTATGTTTGCGTGTCTTGGGTCATCGGGGTGCACTCCTTCTGGACAATCCACAGATGTGCTACGTTGATACCGTGGGCTGGCATTTGCTAATACCCTCTGTCTTGACCACGCAGAATTTCTCCAGTAATCTTACTAGGAACGGCTCGCCACACCCGCAGCCCACCATTGCCGAAGAGAAGGACATATTGATGAAGGCTGGTCTTTACGAGCTGTGCGCAAATGCCTGCCCTCCCGGTTGTGAACGAGCGTTTGTGGACCATCTTCCTCGCACATTCTGCTGGTCTCAGACCCACTGCCAGTCAGGTAAACCTCTACAGTACATTTTCTTGATACCAAGTAAAATCGTTCAAATGCGGTAAGTCAAGCTAGCGTCTGGCAGTCAAAAATGCTTTTTTGTGAATTATTCTGTTGCTTGTCAACCTATTCCGATTGCATATTTTTATGCATTCCGTACGTCTCAGGGGCTGCCCTATGTCATCATCAGTACTCTCCAAATTAATTACCTCTTAAATACAGAGATTGCATCCCCTTGTAATCGGAGTACCTCGATGACTGTGCTCTAAGCTCTTGCGCTCTCTGGTAAGACGAGAGTTACCCTTCCGGCTTTATTTTACCCTGTCAACTTAGTCTCTTAATATTGTCAGATAAAGCACATGTGCCTATTAATTACCTCCTTGTCTTTCGCTACCGCTGTTCGCAGTCTGTGCACCTGAATGTTCAGCCCGCTCTCGCAGCTGTCACGTCAAGGATACAGACCTCTGCTGTCACCCGCAGTGTCTGGGTGGATGCAACGGGCCCTCTGCACAGGATTGCCTGGTTTGTCGTAATTTCCAGCACAATGGGACTTGCATTGAGTCCTGCCCATCGAACTTTTATGGGGTGCGTTTGCCTTTCCTCGCCCTCTCATTGTGGTTTTTCTTGCGTGTTTGGAAAATTCCAAAGCCTTTGTAGGCTTTCAGAACTTTATCATAAGTAGCCCTGCTCATATGTCCCACGAGGTGAGAATTGCGCTTAGCACTGAAAGGAGTCGGGGTAGTGAAATAAGTCAATAGGGTAAGGGACGAATTCACAACCAACTGTGTCGTTAGTTAGCATGCCCTATAGTTTGCTAGCCTAAGTAGGTTTCTTTTTCATTCTCCCTCATCCTTTGGTTTTATTGTTTCCTCCCACAATTTTCCATATTTAGATTCCTAGTAAAAAATATCACGTTCACAAAAAGATATGTCGTGTGCTGTGAAGCACACATTTATCCGACCGTCTTTCCTTCCTTTTTTCTTCAACGTGGCTTTTCTTGGTGATAGTGCTCATAGTTTTTTTTACTACTTCTATCCAGTTGTTTGGCCGACACTGCGTCACCAAGGGAGCCTGTTTGTCGATGCCTGTGCCGGCAGAGTTGCTTAAAAAGCCGTCTGAATATAATCAACAGCACTACGTCCCCAAGCGCTTCGCCATCCACGGTAATGACTGTGTTCCCACCTGTCCCGACGGATTCCATCGCTCTCCTTCCTCTGGTGTATGTGTTCCATGTGTGGGAAGCTGCACAGACAAGAGTCGGGGTTAGTTATTACATGATTATGTCCCTCCTCCTTCCCCCATCTAATTGTATTCGAATCTGCGAAATTTAGTATTCGAATCTTTTCGTATGTTGACGCCATCCTCTCCATAAGCATTAGACAGAAACAACTTATTCTGCAACGAAACAACCCCTCTTCTGGTCTCGATGGCCTAAGGGAACAGGTTTGTCACTCCGGCAATGACACCCTTAGAAAACGTAAAAATTGACATTTGGGTAAAAAGGCGTACATGCTGGAGGTGTTTTCACACCCATCTTATCCCTTGCCATCCGCAAATTTGAAGGACAATCTTACAATGCTGACCAGTTACTGAACCGCTGCGCCGACGTCAGACCTCAGCAGTCTGTCTTCCGGACATCAGGCCTCTGTAGGATAACAGCCAGAATTGCCAGCCATGCGGTGTCTTGGACTCTTACACGTAATTAAGCAGATATGTCTTTGAGTTGACCCAGTTGTGAAAAAAACTCGAGGCGTTTGGCGGGATTTGAACCCGCGCATCAGAGA